TATTTAATAGGAGACTATTGTTTTCTTTTCCATCTCTGCCCTGGTATGTATCTTCAAGAATTGGAACTGTATTTACAATGCAATTACAACTGATTCTTAATCTTGCATGGGATAACTGATTCTCATGGATAGAATCATCTAATATACAAGAACACTTGAACTGATAAGATGGATAAGCAAAGGCACTTCAACTGTACTTCTATAGCTGTAAAATGTTGTATCATATTGCACGAGCCAATCGATACTGATTTGACACTGACATCGAGTAACGTGCGAACTGCGATGTAAAGTACCTCTAGGATTTATAATTGTATACCTCAAAATATTCCGTTTGTGGTTTGTATTTTTCCAATCGAAATTATAGATGTCCAAAGATCCCAAGAGGCAGGGGACTTCTGTTAGCATGGCGGTGCTCTCAACTGACAACAGAAATTCGACACGAAGGCAAAATAAGCATCAATACCAAATATCCAAGTATTTGACAATCATTACTTATTATACAGTCACCTTGTATATAGTGTATTTGGCATTGGAACTACAACTTTTATGTTTAGGAGTGGTACTGAAAAAAAAGAAGAAAATTGTGTAGTGGATAGATAAACTTAAACTTTTTTCAAATCTTTTCGATTTAGAGAACTATTGCGGTACAAAATATTGCAGATGATTTTATTAACTCTAAGAGCGTAGATGTCTTTCCTGGTATACCTGGAAATGCTTTGAATAACTCCTTTTTCGTATTGGGCTGAAGAATCTGACTGCCTATATTTAGGTGAAGAAAAGACACACGTGAAAAATAAGTTTAATATTATATTGCTATACACAGAATAGTGTGGCTGCTAACCATATCAGAAATATCATGAACACTGAATAGAAGAATAAACTTTATGTACATCAACACCTGTACTTTCATGTCTTTGTTTACTCATACAATAATTATATACATAAACAGAGGAGATCCAGCTCCTTTGATGTTACAAAATTCAAAATTCTTGAAACTGTAAACGTGACTGTAACTGGGACCATAATGCTGTAATACTCTTCCAAGAATTATCAAGAAAACAACACTAGTATAACAGTTCCTGACTTATAAACATTCTTCTTATCACAGGTAAAAAGTTTAAGACTCTTGATATGGGAAATATATATGGAAAAAAATACATCAGTTGTCAACATCCATTAAAAAATCCCTGACTGGCACCTCAGGCGCATCGCGACTTACAGATGACTAAACAGTATAAATAATAATCAACACTGATAAAAATAGAGACGGAGAGAAAATAGTTAACAAGAACGTAGGCGATTAATCTACGACGGAAATAATCTACCAAATCTACATGACAGAAAAGAACGACCTAGGTACTGATTGTTCTCCTGATCCAGTTAGAAAACAAAGCTAAGTTAGTGTACACTCCCGGCAGATTACGTCGAGCGCATCCAATGCCCCAGCTGACCAGGCCAATCAGGTGTCGGCGGCCATCCTGCATGAGGGTTAGCGGACTACCCGAGTCACCCTGAGCGTCAAAGAAAACGGGTTAAAAATCATTGAAGAGAAAATGGTTGCATGTGTGAATATAGCCTAGACTAAAGAGAAATACAATTGGAAATTTACTACTTACCGGTGAAATTTTGTTATACTACATTACAGATTGAAAATGTTTTTAAAAGTGATCTGTGCATTTTAAGGAACGTAGCAATGAAATTTGTTTCTCGAATCAATTGCATTCATTACCTGCTATAGTGAATATGAAATACTACAACCTCTAGCATGATATACAATACGGTCATTAAGGGTATTTTGTTAATAGTACAAAAAAGAGAGATACAGTTAAAGAAGACAACAAAATAGAATAAAGGAAGAGTTCAAGAAGATAATCAAGAGTAATCGTCATGTGATAATTAAAAAGAAAAAAATAGAAAATTAAATGAATCTTCTGGACAGCAGTAGTAATGACAATAATACTAAAAAACAAAACAATAATGATAATAGTAATTATAATAATAATAACACCACCAATAACAATAATAATAATGACAACAAACACTTTATACAATGAATGTTAGCATGATACAGAAATGGGAAACAATGGACACACATGAATATATGATTATATATCTGTGTTTAACTACTGGTGATTAAATTTATAATATGAGTGCAAATGTAAGTGAAACATCATTATTACACTTAGGGACGGTGCAGAGTGCAGTTCAGCTAAGTGTGATATGAGGACAAATACTGTCTAAATTACTTGAACAATATCTATAGACTTTCTTATATAAATAATACAATAAATAAAGTATGGCGCGCAAGCATAGCTCACAGGACAGCAACAAATAAGTAGCGTCATAAATACAACAAAAAACAAAAAACAAAACAAGAAACAAAATATGTACGGGTGCAATGCAGGGAACGTGGAGTCACTCCCACACGAATTTCTCTGGCTATTAATTTGGCTGTCATGTGTTCATAAATGTTCCTAATTGAACATTATTCATAAACAGATGATCATAATAGAGCCAGACATTAAGAAACGAATTATTGAACTGATAATTACAATGGTCATAGAACTTCTTATCAAAACTGTAAATGATGCATATTAATACTCTTTCTTGGCTTTCATCTAGATATAATACTACAATTTACAGTAAAAAACAGTCCTTTGAACCATCCATGTGAAGGGAGTGGGAACTCTGTATCAATATTGTCAGTCGTCTAGACACGTGACCCACATTCCCTGCGTTACCTTAATAAGAATGGAAAACAAAGTCCCAGTATGTCTGTAAGAATCCTAAAAGTCTTTCATTAGTGGCTGTTACTGTTTTTTCTGGTAGTCTCAGTCGTATTTTCCTTTAGCTGTGTCAAGTCTGGTTGTTTCTCGTTCTTTTTTCTCGGGGAGTCTCAGTCTTTCATCTTTTCCTGGATCCATCCAAGGAACATTGTCACGTTCGTGTAAACGCCCGGCAGGTTGGCTCTTCCGCAAGCGATGCCCCATGACACTAGTCCGACCAGATTGGCCTTGCCGTCCTTCTTGACTACCATTGGCCCGCCAGAGTCACCCTGCAATGTGATTGGTCGAAGCGGAGGGAAGCAAGCGTGAGATGGCTGTGCTCAGCCAATGAGAAGTCTTCCAGGAGGGGAAAGGTAAAGTGATGCAAGAGGCTTGGCATTTGAGAAAAGAAGACAAGTGCCAAGAGGATAAGAGACTCAAGGATGTACTAAGATATATAAGGATGTGATGGAAACACTTGAGATACGTTAACTATGGAAGCGCTCGTAAGGGAAAACGAAGCGGGAGAGAATGGCGTCTGCTTTGGGCGTTCTGGGATTTAAATCATCTCGATCCCTACACCACTCTTCTACTTAATGATATAATCAACGCTAGACCATTAAGATAATCGCCTAATGTAATAACAAATATAAAATGAAAAAGTTGAAGGGATATTCAAAAGCTATAGTAAAATGTGGTTAGTCTCTCTTAACAATTATAAAGTTATAAAGCCGATTTTATCACATTAAACAGAAAATGGAATGGGTACGGTATGTAGTTAATGATTTGATAAAACGTCCTATAATTATTTTAAAATTGCTAGTGTCGTGAATTGCTCCACATCAGAGGCAGATCATATTCACTTGCATAACTGATCATGTTTAATACTTATTACTGGGAAAGTTCGTTCACAAAAAGCACATAAAAAACACGCACGTGACACCTTCCTCCAATAGCTGCCGGATCAAAATTTCCAGCACAGAGACAAAAGCTAGTGGTCTAAGGATAACGGCGTCAGAGGCTAATCAGGAGCCAAAAGCATATCTCAAGATAAGAAAAGCAGCTTTACAAAAACGAGGAAAATCGAGAAGGCAGATAGCGAAAGCCATAAACGAAGCAGAGGATGTAGGCTCCAGTGAAACAAGCAAAGGACAAAAGTCTTTCTGGGTAAAGGTCGTCGTGTTAGTCGGGTAAATAACAGTTAGATTTTGACACATAAGGTCTAAGAGTCAAAAAAGTATAACAGGTGTCGAAGAGTCAAATAATCATGTAGTTTTATCAAATGAATCACAGTAAAAAGAAGATTGAAATCATATCCTGATGGACATGTGATGCAGTTAAATAACCAAAGAATTGAGAACAGTGAAGTGAAGTCTAGCGCTGTACTTTAACGAATATGACAGTCGATTTGAAAGTATTTGTTTAAAGGGTCTGTCATAATTTAGTGATAATCTAGAAAATAAAGAAGAAAATGTATTTACAGCTGGCAAAAGTAGGCAAGTCGTCTGTACACACGTACATACACGTACGCACACATACATACCTACATATATACATATATACATACATACATACACACATACACACACACACACATACACAACTATCTGTATTTACACCACTGTTTACAGCACATATATACCAGAAGTAGATACACACATTTCTAAAGAAAAAATGCCTGGTGTTTACTAGAAACTGCTGCAGCTTTAAAATAAGTTATTTTTTGTGACAGTCTTTCAATTATCCTTTCGTCCGGAACACACTCTATCCATTACCAAGAACAACAACGCAAAGCCAAGAGTATACCTACTATTTACAACCATCCACACAGCCACAAACATCTGTACAAACAGCCACATCTCGCATTCACACACGGCTACACACACACACACACACACACACACACACACACACACACACACACACACACACACACACACACACACACACACACACACACACACACACACACACACACGTGCATCAATCCAGACAAACAGCTCCGCCCCCAGACCCAACGCCCCGCCCACCCACCTGGCAGCTGTCCTTCCCGCCGTTCTTGTAGCCGCCGCACAGGAACACGTCGTGGATGGTCTCGCGGCGCCCGGCCTCCTTGAACCACTCCTGACACACGTCGTTCTGCAGCACCTCCACGTCCACCTCCTGAAGGACCTCGGGGGTGGAGGAGATTCCTGCGGGGGCGATGGAGGAGTTGCAGGTCAGGAGAGGGGAGAG